CGTAGTCGAGCAATTGACTTGGCCGCCGAGGAAGAAGACGAGGTTGCCGTTGGCGTCGAGCAGCGGAGTGGTATACAAAAGGTTCCAGAACGGCTCACCTGTCTTCTTGTGGTTCAACAGGAGCTCTACAGACTCCTCGCGCCGGTCGATGGCTGCCTTGAGACGGGCGACAGCGGCTCTCTCAGTTTGCCGACCTTGGAGGAAGCGACAGTTGCGAGGTATGATCTCGTGTCTCAAATAGCCGGTCACCATGACGAAGCCATCAGAGGCCCAAACGATTGGGTTGTCAGCTTTTGTCGGGTCTGTGAGCACAAAGCAATCTCCAAGACCAGCGTACGCTATACGATTGCCGCCTAGAGCTTTGGCAGCACTGAGGCTCATCTGGTGGCGAACGAACTTTGGATAGACATCAGTATACACGAGCCGCTCTACCTCGCTTTGAGGGTCCGAGAAGATCGATCCCACAGCTGGTAGAATCGATGCAAGAGCCCCTTTGATGTCGGGGTTGATCCTCGCTTGAAGTGGTTCGGACAAGTTTATCTGATGTGGAGCTGCAACAGTAAGGAAGTCCTTCTGAATTGCCGATATGGATCGAGATACATCGTCGAGCAGTAGGTGATACCTGCTGACTCTGGCCAGGAATTCCATATTCTCTTCGCAATAGCACGCCTCACTAAACTTCAAGAGCCGGTGAGCGATCGTTGGATTACACAAGACCATCTGAAAGATTGCCTGGCCAAAGAACTCTGGCATCTTGGCTCCATCCGAGACGCCGCTGCTCCGGGCCTGGCGGCTGATACCTAACACCGGGGTGGCAGCCGGCGGGAATGTGCTCATTGAGGCCAGGCTCGCGGGCGAGAGAGCAGTTTGGTCCATGCTTTCACCTGTAGTGTCCGAGAAAGTATGCAGTGGCGAGGTCGATCTTGGAGAGTGATCAACATCCTTAACGGCGGCGGTAGAGTTTACAGCAAATGTACGGCTGGGAGATGTGATGAATGAACTTTCGGTGTAGAATGGCTGGTTGTCGGTGGTTTGCGTTGTGTCATCGTCCAGACCGCTGCTCTGTGCAACACCGATTCGAGATTTGTCTGTCGTGTGTGTCCCATTCAGTGGAGTATGGCCACGAGCTTTGGAGGGACGGCGGATTGGTAAAGGATTCAGCAGTCGCCTCCGAGATGCGTTGTGAGTAGGCGAGCCACCGAAGCAGCTCTCGTCTGCGAGATAGTCGAGGTAGATACGCTCTCGGGACATGATGTCTGTGTGCGCTACCGAGCATGCATGGCGTGAAGTCGAAGGAGAAGTGGCGTGTAAAGCAAGAGCGAACGTTGCATTCGAAGCGTGGCTGTCGCGTGCGTCTCGAGTCATTCCTTCCTGCAGGCGATGTCAAACCCTGTCGATCTGGCAACTACGCCTCAAAGCACCTGCACGTCCATGTGGGCCTTAGAGCCATGCGGACGGATCCTGGACATCATCGGATGCAGGTCACTCGACGTGGCTGCTTTGGCGTCCACGGATGCTCAATGGGCGTTATCTAGTCCGACTTTGTCACGAGGTGGCGTCTCACCACCTCCGTGGTCATACCTACTGTAAATACCTTAGACGGCAGCTGGAATGACGGCTCAGTGACATGCTACATGCGCGCTGAACGTGATTGACTCATTCTACCTACCTTACTTACTGCAAAGGGTCTTGCAGCAAACTCCATCCCCTCGCAAAAGGCTTGATTTGGGCATCTCTTCTTCGCCACGTTCTTCACCACCTACAGGACCACACCATTACGGGGGAACAGTGGTAGAGCATTTCTCGCATGCATCACGCTCGATGACGGCTGTTGAGCACTGTGAACTGAATCGCATTAAGGTGAATCTTCGCCTTCAGGAAAAGGAGGACCACCTCTCACGCATCTGGGAGACCCAGCTCACCTTGTCTGATCGAACATCAGGATCCGATTGCTACACAATTCTTCTCATCGTGATCAACACCGTTTTCAGGCGCTTCAGCCGAGCGCTAGGCAGTGCATCTTAGGAGCTTCATAGCGGCTACCCTCAAGTTGTCGGACACGACCGCGAGCTGGCTGTCGCATCGGGCCTGCAACAAGCTACGGAGGCAGGAGGCGGTGCAGGTAGCATGATATTGGGCTGCAGCGTAAAGCATACTCGTCTACTCGTCCAGAGGCTCCCTCTGCTAATGGGAGAGGGTTGCAAGGGTCTTCAGAGCTTGGTACCTAGGAGTTGCGGCCTAAGGGCAAGTCGGCGCTTGGAATGATGGCAACGTAGGCTTCGGTGCTGCAATCTAGAGTATCCAGACTCCGTCGAGTGCATTCAGTGTCAGCAAGATAGCTTTCAAAACATCAGTACAGGCTTGAGCTCAGGCTGTAGTGACATTGGTTTTGACTTGAAATCTCCCATCTCGCCCACCGTTGGCGAGTCCATCACAACGCGCCCACTTCAGGCACCTCCGCTTCATGAAGCCCATCAAATTGCAGTCGTGACGAAGCTCCCGTGATTCTGTTGTTGTAGGCCTAAGGTATCTTGATGATTGATCCAAGTTGGCGTGCAGAAGATTGCGTGTCTTGTGGTACGAGCTGGGGACTGGAAGGAGCTTGTGCCTGAGGCAGCAGCAAGAGTAGCCCGGATCTCGCCCGACGCCGCCGGGAACAATTTCATTGGACACCCCAGCACCGCGAGGCATTCATTCTAGCAGCTTCTTCAGATGGTACCGGCTTCTTTACGAACCATTTGACTTGCGGCTCCTTTCTTCCAACTTCGAGTTCAGCATTGCAGCGGTGGGTGATCACGTCTCGCCAGGTACGTGTTCTCCCATGCCCACCCACCCTCCTTTCAATGATGATACACATAGCTGGCACCAGTCCTAGAGACTTGTACTCTTTACCATGCGGAATAGCTTGAGACATTTTTACCTCTCCGTTCTGATTGAACTTCACACGCCATTCTACTACGATCGTTGAGCTCGGAACGTCGGCTAACATTGATCAGACTCATAGTGAGCTTCTCCACCGACACAATTCCCCCGGTAAGCACCTTTCACGACTCGCCTTCCTGTTTGAAGATGAGACATATAGCTGGCACCAGTCCTAGAGACTTGTACTCTTTACCATGCGGAATAGCTTTTGAGATTCATCTCTTCGTTCTGATCAACTTAACACGTCCCAGCAAGCACTTCATGAGCACACACGATCAGGAAGCACCAACTGACAATCAATGGCAACAGAGAAACTTCACTCGCCCACTTCGCGCTGCTTCTCCGATAATTCCCTCCCGCCATGGTGCTCCACAACCCCAACAATTGGCATTGGGTGAACAAGGACGTCGGTGCTTGGACACAAGACTATCTGACGTCTGAGCTGGTTGGCACCACAGCGAGCAAAGATGATGGAACGAGTGCGGAGATAAGCAAGTTGATGAGCATGGAGGGCGACGTGGATGTCTCACAGAGGAAAGGGAAGGTCATTACCATCTTCGACGTGCGGTTGCAGCTGGAATACACTGGCAAGGTGCCGTTGAAGGAGAGCGAGAAAGCAGAGGGGCAGACGGAGGATACCAAGGACGTGAGCGGTACCATCACCATCCCGGAGGTTGCGCATGATACCGAGGAAGACGAGTATGTCGTATGTCTCATAGAGCTTCTGTTCTTTTGACCCGGCCAGAGCACACTAACATTCGGTGCAGTTTGAGGTAGAAGTCTACAGCTCAGACCTGAGCAAGGAGCCTGTCAAGGAGCTTGTGCGGAAGGAGATTGTCCCTCAGCTACGGAAGAAGTTGCAAAAGCTTGGCCCACGCCTAATACAAGAGCATGGCAGGGACATCCAGCATGCAGCCGGCCAGGATCCATCCGCTGGCTTCCCTCGGCTGAAGGTGCTGGAGAACTCGTCTGTCCCGAAGCCAAAGGATGGACAGACAACCACCAACGCGACAGCAGGCGCTGCCAACGGCCCGAAGATCAACGTCACTAGCCTCAGCGATCAGCAGGAATTCCGCACAGAAGCATCGCAGCTCTTCGAAACATTCACCGACCCTCAACGTATCGCCGCTTTCACACGTGCCCCGCCGAAAGTCTTCGAGGGTGCCAAGGAAGGCGGCAAGTTTGAGATCTTCGGCGGTAATGTGTCGGGTGAATTTACCAAGCTGCAGCGGCCGACGTACATCGAGCAGAAGTGGCGGTTGGCGCAGTGGCCCCAGGGTCACTACAGTACGCTGAAGCTCAAGTTTGAGCAGAATGATGTTGATGCTGTTACGGTTATGGTGGTGAACTGGGAGGGCGTACCGGTGGGTAGTGAGGCTGACACGAAGAAGAACTGGGAGATGTATTATGTGGAGTCGATTAAGAGGTAAGCGTGTTGTCTGAAGGTGGGCGATGAATTGTGCAGACGCTAATGATTGTTAGGACGTTCGGCTTTGGTACGGTGCTGTGAGGCATGTGTGGATGTGGACGAGGTATGAGCACCATTCTCGTGGACTCTGCACCATGTGAGATTTGCAGGTTCTTGCCCTTTTCACGGCGATCAACAAGATTATGAATAGAGCTACAACCCATACTAGACCTTGCTCTGCACGTTCCGCCTCTCACTGTTCTCACCTGGTCCCTGTCACACGTATACAGATAACACGACAGTGCGGACGCATTCCCTGATATCAACGCAGAGAAGCCTCGCCGTGATCTGGGCCGCGCCAATAGCTTGCATGCTTTGACCGATGTAGGCAAGAAGGCGCATTGAGGCTCGTAATCGATGCGATGGGTAGCTAAGGCATGTAATGTATCGCGACAAGCGGCACGTTCGTGACGCCTTGGCCTGTGCTGTGCGCCGACCGTGGATTGAATGATCGGAACATGATGAGAGCGACAACAGATCGCATTTCAAAGAGATACATGTAAGTGTACGGAGGGAGGCCAAAGATTTGCGATCATGTCGTGACGGGGCAATCTCGGCTCGTAAAATAGCGGGATCTGTACAATATTGGCGCTCAAACCCCACCATCGAGGCACTTTGGCGGAGTGGTTAACGCGCTGCCCTGCTAAGGCAGTTCCGTACGTCCAACGTTCGACCCCACCCACTCAGTGCATCCACTAACAACTCTCCAGTTCGGGAGCGTGTGGTATGTCGATCTTCACTCAAGATTTGATTGAATATGTCGCTAACTTGATTGAAGTTCGAATCACACAGGTGTCGATTGATTGAACATTGGTTGATCCATCAATCAATTACTTTTACTTGCTATCTTTTTGCTCTCCCGCGATCCTCCAGTGATCCGCGTGCCTTACGATGCGACATATGACAGTATATCGGCAGGCACTCTCATTCAATAGCAACCTCGAGATGAAAAGTTCGACCGTCTTTTTACATCACGTGGCTACCCCAGTCCCTCGGGCGAGACGGGTCGTTCCGGTACCTTCGCCAAAGTCGTACAGCCGAATCTCGTTCCCGCCAAGGAGACATGACGAACGACGCATCAGCAGAGCAGATCAGCCACCTACAACGTTGCGCATGAAGACTCGCGGCCAATGCAATCTGCCCTCGCCACATCACTGAATTACCACAAACACTGCGCTTTGTAGCGACCAGACGACATCGGCTTCAATCTCCATCTACTCTCCTTACCGCCCCCACGAACCTCCCCAACACCCGCAGACATTGCGCGCCCGGCCACCAATTTGACATCATTCCAGCGAGGTTGCAGTTGACGGGATCCTCATCTAGACCAACGCCAGCTTTCGCGGTCCCGTTCGCGTCCCCCAGGAGGTCATCTGCACTTGCGTTACCGGCCTACCAGTCTTCGGTCCGAGACACGAGGCACAGCACAGCACATCACGTTGAAGAGAAGAGTAAACGACAAGGGACCTGCAAATCAATTCAGACCCACAAGAGGAAGCGCAAGCCATTGAGCTGCGCGGACAGCATCAGCAGTAAAGATGTCGTCGGTTATGAGAAGCGTCAAAAATGTCACCAAGGGTTACTCGTCAGTGCAGGTCAAGGTTCGAAATGGTACGCAGTTCTGCGGACACCCTACTGCTGGCAACTGCAGCTCGCGAGATAGCAGTGAGTGGAAGATGCTAACCGCTTAAACAGCCACCTCGAACGATCCTTGGGGCCCTACAGGCACCGACATGGCGGATATCGCGAAGATCACGTTCAATTCTTCCACCGATTTCTACGAGGTCATGGACATGCTTGACAAACGCCTCAACGACAAAGGCAAGAACTGGCGCCATGTCCTCAAGTCCCTGAAAGTACTGGATTACTGCTTGCACGAAGGGTCAGAGCTAGCAGTCACATGGGCGCGGAAGAACATCTACATCATCAAGACGCTCAGAGAGTTCATATATTTGGATGAAGAGGGAAGGGATGTTGGCGCGAGCAGTGAGTATAAGTGTCTAGCTCATGTCACCTAGCAAGAGAGATGCTGACAGGAAGAAAGTCCGGCACTCTGCCAAGGAGCTTACGAGCCTGATACTGGACGAAGAGCGCCTGCGAGGCGAACGCGCAAATCGCGGCTCTTGGAAGTCGCGCGTCACCGGTCTCGAGGACATGGGAGGTATGGCTGGCTATGCAGGTGGTGAAGGAGCCGCCACACCCCGCCGACGAGCACGCACCCGGCCAACGAACGAAGAAGACGATCTTGAGTACCGACTCGCGCTCGAAGCTTCCAAAAATGAAGCCGAGGCCGATGCCATGCGCAGGGCAGGCCACACACAGCCGGAGCCCGACGATGATGATGATCTCGCCAAAGCTTTAAAGCTAAGCCAAGAGGAGGAGGAATTGCGCAAGCGCCAGTTGGAAGACCAGAACAATACGAACTTGTTGTTCGATGATGCACCTGCGCAGGCACCGCAACCGACGGGCTTCAATCAGGGCTACCAGCAACAAGCGGCGGTGGACTGGTTCGGGAACCCTGTTGAGCAACAACAGCCACAGCAGACTGGTTTCTTGAACAATGCGTACAGTCAACCAACTGGGTATCAGAACAACTTTGGCTACAATCAATCGCAGCAGACCGGCTACGACCAAATGCAGCAACCTCAACAGCAGTTCCTTCAACCACAAAACACATACAACCCGTGGGCGCAGCAAATGAACGGCAATGGCCTTGGTCAGCAACAGCAACAGCGACCCATTCAGGAACAGCCCACTGCTCAACCTGGCTCGAACAATCCTTGGGCAACATCAAACCCAATGTCAACCCCGATGCAAGCTCAGCCGACAGGATCCAACAATCCATTCGCCACTCAGCAGCCGCAGCAACAGCGAACCGCGCAGCCGAGTTACGCGAACAAGGCGCCTACACTGTCGATGCTGCAAGAACAACAGACTGCCAATCAGTTCAATCAGCGACCAAACCCCATCACCAACTTCCAAGCACCCCAGCCCACCGCTTCGCCTGCTCAAAGCCAGCCCGCCGCAGTACCTCCACCGCAAGACCCATACCAGGCTCGTCTCAACGCACTTCTCTCCTCAGGCGAAGGGCAAGACACTTTCGGCAACGTCGGCGACATGCGTATCCCTGCCCAACACACCGCGCCTGGCACTTTTGTGAACTCGGCCGGTGCTGGGTCAATGGGTAGGCTGGAAGCAGCGAAGACTGGTAACAACCCTTTCTTTAGCCAGCAGCAGACAGCGGCGCAAATGCAGTATCCAGCGCAGACTGGTCCGGTCGGGTTTGGCGGCATGCAGAGTCAGCCTTTCGGTGGCGGCAACAACCCGTTTGGCGCGAGGCCTGCACAGCAGCAGCAGCAGCAGCAGCAAGGGACGCAGGGGGGCGGCAGTCTAATCGACTTCTAGTGCTTGCTGTGCATGACAGAAGCAGTGACCCAAAACGTGTGGCGAGCGAAGCAGAATGCAGATTGTGTGTAGCAGAGCATGGTATGTCTCAGCACAAACTTTAGGCGTCGCGGACAGGACTCATCAGAAAGCAAACGGCGTCATCTTTGATACCCGAGTTCTGGCGGTATTAGATTATTGTATGGGGAAGGTCTATGTATACGACATCTGAAGCGATTGATCCTGCAATGTTGCTATCCCTGGTTGGAGCATCTTGTCTTTGTCGACCACCTTTCCATTGCTGTCTACATGATGGTCCAGTCCGCGAGGATGAGGCTATATGTAGTACTTGTCGGTGTTCGTAGACCCATGAGACCAGGTGGAAGATGCATGGCCAGTCCAATGGAAGGTATTGAAGTGCTTCCTCATACCGCCGTACAACATACATCTTACACTTATGCCGCACCTAGCCGATACGCCCAGTACTGCTGGTGGTGGGGAAGCTCCAGTCGCCACTGCCGCATCAGCCTGAGGCAGCTAGGACGGAGCTTAGGTCAGCAGGGCAGCATCTGGATCGTCTGCGCGTGGTCTCTGCAAGTAAACCAGAACACATCACCGCCGACAGGCATACACCCTATCTCGACTCATCCCTAGCATTCCTGTATATGAGTTTTCGCCACTCTCTGCACCGACTCTAGTCACGCCAATAATCGATGAGCGACAGCAAGCATGCTGCGATCCCATCTTTGCCAATGCAGTAAACGCCTCGCCTCTGGTAGCAACATCGCTGCCAGAGGCTTCTCTAGCTTCGCGCGCAATGAACCCCGATCCGCGCTGGTAGCAAAGCGCAGAGAGCTGGGCATTACGACCTACAACCGCTTCACTTCTCAGCACAGGCAATATGCCGCAGCCGCCGAGCAGACCAAGGGCGTTGACCCATCCGATAGCTTCCTGAGTGGGAACACGGCGAATTATGTGGACGAGATGTATATGGCGTGGAAGGAAGATCCGAGCTCGGTACATGTGTCATGGCAGGCATACTTCAAGAACATGGAGAGTGGTGACATGCCCATCAGCAAAGCCTTCACACCTCCACCTACCATCGTGCCACAAGTGGGTGGCGTTCCTCAGCTGACCCCTTCGTCGGCGCCTGGTCTAGAAGCAGGGCAAGGCTCGGATGTGATGAACCACTTGAAGGTGCAGCTGCTGGTACGAGCATATCAGGCAAGAGGACATCACAAGGCCAAGATCGACCCCTTGGGCATCCGCAACGATGCGCACGCCTTCCCATACAGCAAGCCGAAGGAGCTGGAATTGAAGCACTACAACTTCACCGAGCAGGACATGGAGCAGGAGTTCACGCTTGGCCCGGGTATTCTCCCACGCTTCAAGACTGACGGGCGTGAGAAGATGACCCTTCGAGAGATTATCGATGCTTGCGAGAAGATTTACTGCGGTCCTATCGGTATCGAGTACATTCATATCCCGGATCGCGAACAGTGTGATTGGCTCAGGCAGCGTGTCGAGGTCCCAGCAGCCTACAAGTATTCCGTGGACGAGAAGCGCCGTATCCTGGATCGCCTCATCTGGTCTTCTTCGTTCGAGAACTTCTTAGCCACAAAGTATCCCAACGACAAGCGTTTCGGTCTGGAGGGTGGCGAGTCGCTGATTCCAGGTATGAAGGCTCTGATCGACCGTTCCGTCGACTATGGCGTCAAGGACATTGTCATTGGAATGCCCCACAGAGGTCGTCTGAACGTGCTCTCCAACGTGGTCCGGAAGCCGAACGAGTCCATCTTCTCTGAGTTTGGTGGTTCCGCCGAGCCATCTGACGAGGGTTCCGGTGACGTGAAGTATCATCTGGGCATGAACTTTGAGCGTCCTACTCCGTCCGGCAAGCGCGTGCAGCTGTCGTTGGTTGCCAACCCGTCGCATCTGGAGGCTGAAGACCCGGTCGTACTCGGCAAGGCTCGCGCTATTTTGCACTACAACAACGACGAAGAGCAGGCCCAGTCAGCTATGGGAGTACTGCTTCACGGTGACGCGGCTTTCGCTGGTCAGGGAATTGTGTACGAGACCATGGGCATGGCTGCTCTTCCGGAGTACCACACTGGCGGTACTATTCACATCATTGTGAACAACCAGATTGGCTTCACCACTGACCCACGTTTCGCTCGCTCCACGCCATACTGCTCAGACATTGCCAAGTTTGTCGATGCGCCCATCTTCCACGTGAATGGAGATGATGTGGAAGCAGTCAACTACGTCTCTCAGCTCGCTGCCGACTGGCGCGCCGAATTCAAGAAG